AAGCTGATCACTCTTGCTTTTGTATACTTTGATACTCAAGTAGATTAAGGTCTGGTTCTGTACAAATTTCTCAGAATTTAAAGAGGGGTGGTTTAATGTAAAGTTTTTTAACATGTCCCGGGTGTAATAAATTAAGGCTAATTATATAACTAAGAAATCTTCAAATTTCATTTTAAAATTGTTAACCGCATCAAGTGACCAGCCACGCCCTGTTTCACCGAGTAATCCTTTGGGTCGAATGCCCAATATGTAGAAAGCAAACCGTTTTCCTTTTGTCGGTCCAAATAGTGGCTACTGATAGTCTTCTTGTAAAAACGGGTGGAATGAGACAAAGTCATTTATAGGAGGACTTGCACTAGTCAATAAACACCAATTGCACCATAAACAGTTGCAGGTACAAAACCGAGTATTATCCACTGGTTCATAACATAACGTTTTTCAGTTGTCGAAAACAACACATAGGTGACACACCAGTACAAAAATGTATCTCTTTCAGGTTACCAGATTTTGTGCCAAAAATCTGGGAAACCCAGCAGTAATATAAAAGCAGTTTTATTCACATTTTCTGAACCCAAATATCTAAAACGTTTGCCACAAAATTACTTCTTTTATAAAAAACCCAGAATACTAAGGAATTCTTTTTGGAAGGTTTTCATATTGTTTGATCCAGGGGATTTCCATGCGTAAGAGATCTTGCGAGGCTTGCTTAGCGTACGCGTCACGCATGCTGTTATTGGAAAAAATACTGTAGTAAGCTAAAACTTTGCAGGCTGGCTCATAACTTGCTTATGCTACCGCCGGCTGGCAAACTCCAAAGTTCCCTTTCACTCTAGCTGGGATTGCGTTAGACTACGAGTAGTCTCCATTTTTCCTCAGGGATAGTAGAGCGAGCGAAACGTGAGCGCGCGTAAAAATCACCCTACGTCTGGCCTTTCTCGCGTGGTGTGATTTTCACGCGCCCTCGCGTTTCGCTTGCTCTACTATCCGTAAGGAAAAATGAGGACTACTTGCAGTCTAGGATTGCGTGTTTTTTCGTACCATTTCAAAGGCTCCATATTTAATTCTATGCACACCTCGGGGTCATCTTTTCTGCCGGACCACAACTTTGTCTTGATGCAACGATACAATCGCCCGTGAAAAATGTTTCCTCTATCCTCCCGCTGACCTTCCGCGGGGAAAAACATTTTTTCCAAGCGAACGAAGGGAAAGTAATTCCTTTTATCATCGTAATCACGCCACTCATCGATCGTATTCGTGACTGAATCCCGCGAAATGAATTTTTAGCGGTTTTCGCGTCGTATCCAATTCAATAACCCCAACATCATAGAAATCGCTGTCTGTTTTGCGTTTTCGTTCCACTTTCTCCATCTTTTTTTCGCGGAGCAGACAGAACTGTCCTCCACAAAACGCCGTGGAGGACATGACATTCGCTTCGGTCGATGGCCCATGTTCATTTGTGCTGGTGAAACACAGTACCTTTGCGCACGCGCCGTAGCATACACTCCATGTAATGATCACTGAAGAGCAAATGTCCTCATTTAATAATAATAACTATAATAATAATAACTGTTTATTCACAAATCCAAATCGAAAAAGTGAAAAGGAGATAAAAGAGGTTATCCGTTTCTAGTTTTTCTCCTGATAATAAAATACATTAAGAAATAAATTATTTACAACTGCTTAAAATAGTAACTATATATGTATATAAAACATCACACAGTAAAAGAACTTAGTGTTCACTAGAAAAATCTATAAGATAACGTCTCAGTCTGTTCTTGAAAATATTCAAATTCTCCGCCTCAGCAACTTCCTTTGGGAGATTGTTCCACTTATCTATTATGCGTATAAAAAAAGAATGTTTAAAACTATTTAAAGTTGCTGATGTAAGCTTAAGTTTAAAACGATGGTTGAGTCTTAAGGGCCGAAAATCATGTGCAAATGTAAAAAATGTGGAGGGATCAAGTCCATTAAGTCTATTTATTGTCTTATAACACTCGATAAGCGACGAAAATAATCTTCTTTGTTCAAGTGATGGCCATTTAAGGAGCTTTGGGCGTTCTTCGTAAGGCATGTCTTGCCCAACATTTCCAAGGGCGCATTTAGAAGCTCTACGTTGTACTTTCTCCAAGGTGTTTAAGTCTTTTTTAAGGTGCGGACACCAAACTGGAGAGCAGTACTCGAGTATCGGACGTACTAGACTCTTATAAAGTTTTGAAAACAACTGAGGATTTTTAGGACCCACCGTTCGCCTAATGAATCCAAGCACACTATTTGCCTTATTTGCGCATTTGTTGGCTTGCATACCCCATGACAGGTTCGAAGTAATATGGATTCCGAGATCCTTAACTTCAGATACAGCTTTTAATTGGTTACCACATAGATGGTATTGAGGACTTGAGTAATCATTTTTTTTAGAAATGCGCATCGCTTCGCATTTATCTGTGTTAAATTTCAGCTGCCAGACATAGCTCCAAGATTCCAGGCGAATAAGATCTTTCTGTATCTCTTCAACATCTTCCATAGTATCCCTGAGTATCCTATACAATTTCATATCATCTGCAAAAAGTTTTGTGTTTGACATAATGTTTCTTGAAATATCATTAATATAAATTAGAAATAAAATGGGTCCCAGCACAGTTCCTTGGGGCACACCAGACAAAACGGAAGTCCAAGATGAGTGATGTCCCCTCAGAAGAACGCGCTGGTATCGATTGGTGAGAAAACATCTAAGCCAAGACAGGAGTGGACCTTGGATACCATATGCGTGTATCTTTGTCAAAAGGCGTTCATGTGGCACCGAGTCAAATGCTTTTGAAAGGTCTAAGAATATAACATCAGTTGTCAAGCCTTTGTTTCTCCCGCTGGCCCAATCGTGAAAAGATGATAATAATTGAGAAAGACAAGATTTCCCTTTCAGGAAGCCAAATTGCTCCGGAATAAAGACCTCGTTTGTAATACAAAACTGAACAAGCTGCTGTCTTACTATCATTTCACACACTTTACACACCACCGATGTTAGCGAGACAGGGCGATTTGTGGGCAATGAGTTTAATATAAGTGAAAGACAAAGCAAAACAATAGACGCATTCATAATACCAACTCAAGCATTCACGGTTTGCGGTTTTTTTATTTCGCGACCATACACCAGATTTTTTTGGAATCATATATACAAACGTAACCTAGAATCCGGTCCTTTTTTTTCCCTTTTTGAGAGGAGGGAAAAAATTATTCTTCCGTAGGGAGAAAACCTTGCACCGTCAGCTTTGCGCGCAAGTACCTTAAATGTTTTTACTGCTAAGAAATGTTCGCCAGGAACACTCAACGATTGACGACACGTTTTTGTTCCGAGCGTAGCGACTTTATAATCTCGTCACGCGCGAAGCGCGAGCGCAGTCTGCTAACCGCGCGTGGTCTTAGCCACCTGCAAAATTCAGAAAATTCGATGTCCCATAAATATTTCTATATATGCTTGGTGTCCGCTAATGTCGTCATGGAGCATTTTGCGTTTGCAGGCAACATAGACTTTCAATTCACCCAAGCCACCCACCCCAAGCCAGTCCTAATCCGTTTCGTCCGAAAAGTACTTGGACTCCTCCTCCACATCGAGAAATCGCACTAGACACTTTTTTGGACGCAGTGGAACATGACTTGCGTAACGTAAAACCTGAACCTGTACGTGACAACTTGACCTCACGCGAACGACGTCGACATGCCCTCAAATCACTTAAAAAACGCAACGACATTTTTATTAAATCCGCTGACAAAGGATCCGCCACAGTACTTATGGACAGAGACTGGTATATAAACGAATGCTTACGACAACTCAACGACACCAAATTCTACACACCGCTTAACAACGATATTACCGATGACATCCAAAAACGGGTACAGGTCTACGTTGAACGCATGCTTCATGACAAAATCATTGACGACAACTAATAATAATAATAATAATAATAATAATAATAACATGTTTAAACAGGATGACCATTTCATTTATAAAAACTGCTATCAATATGGGTCCTGTATAAAAATAAATGAAAAAATAGATAAAAAATCAATTATATACGAAACTGGGATACATTACATAATTATAATCAATAAAAAAAGGTAGCCTCCTCATGAACAAAACTACATACAATCATTAAAAAGGGTAGCCCCCTTATAGAAAAGGCCCTCTTAGTCAACTCGAGATTGACTTTATCAATAGATAACCTATCCTTAGACCTAGTGTCATAGTCATGAATATCATAAGTTCGCCGTCGAAACTAAGCGTTTCTTGATACCACGGTCTTACCCCAAGAACAGGCGTTTCTACATCTTACCCAAAATACATAAGACGGATAACCCTGGCCGCCTCATTGTCTCCAGCAACAGCCATACGACTGAACGTATTTCACAGTTTGATCAGTACAGGACCTCAATACATTTACTTCCTTTCTCGATCAATGACATTCACGCCACGATGAAATTTACATGCGATTATTCTTTCACACCCATAACCTTTCTCGATGTCAGCGTCTCACTTCTCAATGGCAAAATCGTCACTGTCCTCTTCACCAAACCTACAGACAAACACCAATACTTACTACATTCATCATGTCATCCCATACACACCAAACGTGCTGTTCCTTTCAGTCTAGCTCTTAGATTACGCCGCATTTGTTCTACCAACGAGACCTTCACACTTCGTACCGATGAACTTATTGACTATATCTTTACTAACGTGGCTGTAACCGCTATTTCCTTTAACGGGAAATACAACGAGTTAACAATATCACACGGACAGAAGCACTTACGTCCCATGACACCTCCACACTGGACAAACCAGAACGTGTTCCCTTCGTTATCACTCACAACCCAGCCCTACGTTCCACTTATCCATTATTCGCAAACACTTTCAAATCCTTATTTCATCTCCCCGTTGCTATAACGTTTTTAAAGCTGCACCTATTGTAGCTTATAGGCGTAGTAGTAAGCTCAGTGATTTTCTAGTCTGAGGGCCAAACTTCGCAATCTCACCACACACAACCAGCCCCGGTGCTCATACCCATGCAGAAAAAACTGTTTCACTTCTAAATACATATCTGACAGACAAACTTCATACACCAGCATTCCACGCTACAAGCGAAACCAGACTTATCACTCATCACATCGACTGTAACTCCAAAAACGTAATCTACATGATACAATGCAATCACTGCTCCAAACAATACACGGGTGAAACGAAACGACGACTCAAATACCGCTTCAACGAACACCTCAGACCCGTTGACAATCCATCTAGCATCTCTAAACCAACCACAGTCTTAGAGCACTTTCTTACTAATGATCACTCTGCAAACGACTTCAGACTTATTCCACTGGAGTTCATTAAATCTAACAGAGGCAGTGTACGAAAAGCTAGAGAGGCACACCTCATCGAGAGAGGTAAAACTCTAGAACCTTCTGGTATCAATAAGAGAGATGAAATGTAATACAATCTTCATTCCTTTTGTTTGTTATCATTTATTTATACTATTTTTACATTTCTTTTATATCACTACTTCAATGGTTTTTGTTTTCCTTTAACGTTCACTTTTTTCTAATTTACTTTTTCACATGTAATTATAGTATCATATTGCACGTTATTCTTTATTTTAAATTGTAACGTCTTAGCTCAACTCCATCATCGTATGTAACACCCTGAAGGAAGGTCGTGCCTTCCGAAATATTGGCAAAAATATTTATATTCCCTACTGTAGAACCCGTCTTGCTTCTTTTGTTCACTTTGCTCGTTTTAATACGCCCCCACTAGCTGCGAGCCTGGCACTGTCTAAGGCAAATGCAGAAGATCTGGACATTTTATTTTATCAAAATCTTGTATATGAGGCCATAAGCTATTTTTTCGTAAAATTGCCGGTTTGGGTATAGAGTATTTCTTTAAATGATAACTTTGACGGTGTACTTTTTTTGTGTGTTCTAACGAAATCAAAGCCCGCTAAAATTGTCGTCTTTTAAGTAGCTTCGGAGTGCTTAAACGTTTTTGAAACATTTGCGAACATTTCGGCAACGTTCGGAAGCCTTCGGAAAGTCGTCGGAGATCTGCGAAAGTAGCCGGAACGTTTACGGAAATCCTTTGGTAATGACAGGGTGAAAACCCAGAAAACGCACGTTGGCAAGTATAATATTGGGACGTTAAGATAGTAAGAAAGACCAAGAAAGACCATACCTAAATCATCTCGGTAAAAACCTGGAATTGCTTTTGTAACGCCCTCATTAGCAGCCATCGTATGCTGGCGCGTACTTAGAGGAGTGTAAATTTGAGCTCATAGGTCATTTACAACAGATAGTGCATGACATACATGGGTTTTAGTAAATCGTTAACCAAAATGACACTTAAGCGTCCTGCTGCTAAGATTACCCATAACAACGCACATTTGATCACATTGTCTGACGAGAGGAGCGGAACAATGCTGTTTAAGACCTTAAAAACAGGTGTTGTAGAAAATAAGGAACAATCTGGTCCTTTGTCAGTTGTCAGTTAAACCAAGGCACATGTCAGTTGTCACTTAAATTTTAGGCTATTTGTCAGTTGTCAGTTAAAGGTTTGGCCATTTGTCAGTTGTCAGTTAACTCCATCCTGTCCGGCCCCTTAACAGCGACTTAAGAGCGACGTTTTGTAAATACCACGGATAGGTGTGCAAGATGAAAAATCGAAATCCCCCAAACTTTGTCACAACAAAGCCCTTTGGAAACTATTTCAGAAATTACAAGACTCAGTTCGTTTGACTTTATATTTTCCAAAATAATCATTCTTTTTAAATTTTCACCTTCAAGAGGCCTTCAAACCACCCGGCGAAAAATGGGCTTCATATCCTCGCTTCGTGAATGGAAACTTAAATGAATACCATGACTTTTCTTATATTAAACAGTTTCATGATCCTTCCTTTGTATCTAAACGTTGTTACAATTTCAAAAGATTTCAATCTGAATTTTAAATATTTTTTCAAAATTACCCTCTAAATCAGTGTTATCGCGACCATCAATTTTGCCAATTTCAACGGCGAAAATCCCTTCCTGGTACATCGCTTTCATTAGAAAAATCGGGTATTCCAGAGAAAGAGCAATGCTTTCCCTATCAATCTGTGAAATAAAATTTTGGTGCAATGCAAACTGCAAGGTTTTACAACTGAAAACATTTACGGTACTTGCGCGATTTACGACCTTTGAACTTGCAGTTGTACTGATGAATACAAGTGACAAGTAAGAACTTAGACAGCATTTGAAACTCTGGCGCAAATTCGCCTCTTTTCCACCAGTTTAAACACCAAAAACGATTCTTGATTTCACGGTGGTAATTTTTCAAAAGGAAAAGCATTTTATTGTGTGAAAGTGAGCTATGAACTTCTTGACTACAACACTTCCCTTGCGCGCGTATTTGTTTACTTTTAACCAAGAGAGGATAAAGGGGACAGAGAAGCCATCCCCCATACACACCCTATTCCATAGGTAATTCGTCTCAAGTTATTTTTAAGACCACAGATGCCAAGGGGGATTAGACAACAGCCAATCGTATAGCGCGAATGAGTTCTGCGTGGATGACCCACACTCAGAGCCACGCGTCCTTCACAAATTGACGCAGAACAAAATGGCGGAAGACGCGGAGAGCGATATTGCTATTCGTTATGTCGACGAAAAGGACCACAGAGAGATTTCTGCTAAAGCTGTGTCATGATCAGCGAAACGGAAATTAAAAAAGAATCGCCCCTCCTCTCTTGTATAGAGCTAACAGTACAACAGGGAAATCCTTAACACGATGAATATTCTCTCAGGATCATTTATAATTTACAGTTTGAAGAGAGCAATTTCTGGTTTGATATTTATTCTTTTATTAGTCTTTCATTATTCAACAAAAATAACACTGGACGTCCTATTTGCTCTATTGTACAAACGACGGGTTTCAATAGACCGGCGAAATTTTTCATTTTATTAAAGCACCGAGGTTACGACAATTTCGAGTTAACTTGATTTCACGGGTTGTCGAAGAGTCTAGTGATTCCCTTTTGCCAGGTGAGCGCCGACTCATTTCGCGTCAATATTCAGGAATGCTATCGATCTCTTTACGCTTTCATTGCCTTTCGCCCAACGTGTTTTCCACGGCGTTTAGTCATGCGAAACCTCCACGAAACATCCACGCAGCGCGCCAGGTAACTTTATCCCGATTCTAAAAATAACTAGAGACGAATTACCTATAGAATAGGGTGTGTATGGGGGATGCCTTCTCTGTCCCTTTTATCCTCTCTTGCTTTTAACGTATTTGTAACAGCTATCATTTATGTACAAAACGGATTTAGTGTCGATAGCTATTCTCTAAAATGCCCTTATTTCTCATGAAACAAATAGTTATAGCTATGAAGGGAAAACATTTTAACCTTCCTCACATCTTTTGACACCTGACCCGAACCTTTACCGAAACGAGATTGCGTGACAAAGAACTTTGAGACCCAGGTTATACCGCGAAGACCGATACCATTCTGAAAAAGAAACTCAGGCGGCTCCCTAAGCTTCTGTAACTATGATTTAAAGTAAAATGTCAATATTCATAATCCTTAGTTTCAATGACTTATCCGCTAGAGCGACCCTGCAAACGTAACACTAAAAAATATATTTCCTCGAAAGACTATAAAGGGGTAGGCCCTTATAATTATACAGTTCTTTACCCCAATAATAGTATTAAAAATATATCAAAAAGAATCTCGTTATAGCGAATAAATTTCAGGGACAGCCAACGACTGTTTTCTGTAACGTATATGTTCGGAGAAGCAAATCTTAATAGGTTGAGGACCTATAGGTTGAGGACCCCTAAAAATGTCTAGATGATCGTTTCGCTCAAGTACAATTTTAGAGGGTTGTCAGAAAAATTCCCTACGATTTTCAGATTTTACGTCCCAGGTTAGGCTATTTTTTCGTAGCAAAAAGTGAACCTAAACTGTTCGGATTCAAATATGTGACTGAGAGAGGATTAAAAAAAATTCCCACTTTCGCGATACGCTATTTACGTTATTTCCAGGAAAATAATACTGAAGCCCTTGTAAATTCGAAGACTTTTAAAGTTCCCCTAGCACCTTCAGTGCCTCAATGACGTACTGGGTACGTCATACCTCTTATACCTTATATGCCTTCTTAACGTACTCAGTACGTCAAGATTTTGAAAGCTGAAGTCAAATCGTCGGCACAGCAAATGTGAATTTGTTTGGCCTGTGGGATTCTTGTTACTTAGGGGACTGGTGACTATTAGCTACCAGTCTTCCATATATGCATCCTCGATTTTTTTAACGGAGCTTCGCCTGTAACTTTCCGCCATTTTGTTTTTGTCGTGTTGTGAGAAGGTGTGAGGCGAGTTTGGCAATATTGGAAAAAATGTCAGCGAGGAGGCAAAGATTTGAACCCCAGGAAGTTCTAGAAATGATCTGGAATGATTCTGGGGACGAAGAAGATTTTTAATTAGACAGCGAGGAAACGTCCGAAAGCGAAGTTGAATCGTCTGAATTAGCAAGTGAAGACGAAAGTGACGAGTCGGTTGACTCCTTTTCATCGAACGAACGAGATAATGTTCAAGATTCTGAACAAAACAGCGGTGATGAAGCTTCTAATGGCAGAGATGGTGGGAATCGGGTAAACCGTGTAAGGCCAAGGCCAGCAAGAAGACAACAACAAGCTCCCCTTGTTTGGCAAATGGCACATGGAACAATACAGCGTGACATTCCATTCACAGGAAATCCTGGTTTACAAGTACAGACTGTAGGGTTTGAACCGTATGACTATTTTGTCCTAGTTATCAATGATGACTTGCTTAAGAGCCCATGACTGTAAATATCGAGAATCGCTGGCCAGGTTAAAAAAATCGAAAATTCTGATAATTTGTCAGAAAAACCCCTTTGGGGAACTATCTTCGAAAAAAATATTTTTAACTTTCAAGAATCTATAGTGTTCGAGAAAATGAGGAAAAACGAGAATAGCGGTTTTTACCTAATTAATTATGCAAAAATTAGAGTAAAAATGGCCTACTTTATCGCGTCGGTACCGAGGCAAGATTCAAAGCTATAGAACAAAAATATTTGTTTAAAAGCATTTTATGTTTTCTTTCTATCCATGGTATGTTTTAAACCATAAACACTATTTACGGTTTTTTAAAAACTACCACCAAGCGCACTTTTTAAAGTGGGTAAAAAATGAGCAACTTCTGAGGAAAAAAACTCACCTTGGTATGTGTGATACCTAGCCAAAATGTATACTAGGACAAAGTTCAGCTCTTATGTTAACAGAATATGAAATAAAAAATCTGGCTACTCCAGATTCGTCTTTACAAAATAAACAGTTTCGTGACCACCAGTGGCAAAAGGTCAAAAATTTGCATAAGTCAAATTTGTAGAGAAATGATGCCGCCTGACTTCTCTTTCTAGTTTCGGTTCATGGTATATTCGAAACGTAGGAG